GCCATCTTTTGGTTCAGAGCCCATATTAGTGGAAAGAATTTATAATGTGACAGTGTCATTCCAGAAATGAAAGCAAAGCCTCATTTTAATTTGATCTTTTTACCCACTCTCTTGTATATAATGCAAAGATGGGCTTCATGGAAAAGGGGTTTGTCTTGCCTTGAAATTTTCAAGTAAGCAATATCCAGCAAATTCTTTCATGACATTACTCTAATGTTGGGAATGATATACTGCATTTCCCATAAAAACTGCTCTCAAATGGCAAAGTAATGGTCAGTGGCATTAATATTTTAATGCTATTTTGTTCTGTGCAAAATTAAGGCATCCACTGATCAATGGCAAATTTCACAAATACGTTCCTGCTAAATGAGCCCAACATTTAGCGAACAGATTCTTCATGGAATGTGGTGAATCAGTGAGTGTTCAATAAAGGTTTTTTATCTTTGGCTGATAAAGTGGTTTAACTGTGATTACCAGTTAGTAGTCTGTGTTTTTCCCCCAAAATAGGAATAAAAACGTTTTACCATTGAGACATTCGGTTTTCACACGGTCTATCTTGTGACCTTTGGCAGCACAGAGGCGGGGGACGGGGCAGTCTTCACTGGAAGAGGTGTATTTGAGGCAAGCTGGCAGGGTGAGAATGCTCTGGAAAGGCTCCTGTGTAGGCAAGGCACTGGCTAGCCGGGGCAGGGAGGCACCGTGCCCGCTGGCACCGAGCGCCTTGTTTCAGGGCCCTAGCAGCGTGCGTGACTGAAGGCTGGAGGGTGTCCGGAGAGAGAGTCTGGCTGGAAGGGCAGACCGAACATCAGTTGGGAAGCCCTTGTGTGCCTTACCCACAGGCACCGAGAAGCCATCACAAGTCTTCATGCAGGGAGGTGATCAGATGCGAGTTTTGGGAAGCAGCGTAGTTTGGAAGATGCAGGTAGCAGGGAGGCCCATCGGGAAGCCCGTGCACTGTCCAGGCCGTGGTAGCGGCTGCAGGCAGATACAGCGTAGTGAGTGAGGCTGTCAGAGTCTGTTTATTGGGGTTAAATGAAGTAACTAGTCTCCTGTGGCCCATTCGCTGCCTGGTGCGATCACTCCTGAGTTTTGACCCTTACAGTTAAGTCTTGGGTGAGTCAGGCTTATTTCTCTGGCCGTGGATTCGTTGGCTTTGCACTGGGCACATCGTCCTCACCCAGGAACTACTGCCAGTTGATCCGATCTGATGGCGGGGACTGATGACTGAGCACCATTGGGGCAGATGGAAAATTTGAGCCCCAGGGTTAACCCAAGAAGAGGGCACAGAGTTCAGTTCATTTTACTGTCGCCTCGTTTAAGAAAGCCGGGGCCCTTGGAGCCTGGTAAGACAAAATGGACGCATATACTGCCCCAGACTTACTACAGGCGGTTTCAAAAGTGTGCGCAGAAATGGGTTCCTTGGAATTTGGAACTCGGTGTTGTCTGTAAACAGGAGCTCACCTGATAGGGTGGCCCGTGGCATCTGCCAGGCAGCCCTGGGTGTACATCACAAAGCGAGAGAACTGATCCAGGGAACGGACAGTGGCCGTGGTCCCAGCTGAAGGAGCCTGGTGATCACAGACCACTGCTTAGTGTGGGCCTACGTGCTTTAGGGTTGATGCTGGCACAGCCCCCCAGGAAGCAAACCTCCCCTTTGGCCACGGAAGCATGAGAAGAGGCTGCGTTGTACAGAGTTTCAGGCTTGAGTCCACGGATGTGGGTGCAGATCCCAGATGGACCCCAGACCGTTGTTATGTCCGCAGCCTCATGCTGCCTTTCCCTGGGAGTGCCGAGCACGTAGTGGGAGCTCGGTAACACCATCATCTGCATTTCTCAAGGCCACACACGGCTGTTTGTGTGCCATGGAGCAGCATGGTATAGTGGCCTAATATGGGAAGGCTCCAGAGATAGAGCCAGCCAGCCAGACCAGGCCCTGGGGATGGCCACGTGGGTGGGCAGCTCTGGCTGGCCGCGGAGGCCCACCAAAGTTAGGTTTTCTGTCAAAGGATGGCCTTCTCTGCCCTGCGTGCTTTCCAGAACATAAGGTCAGGCTTGGGAGACACCAGATGCTTTCTACTGAGTCTAAGAAGAAGCACATGGGATTTTTGGGCTCTAGGGAGCGTTAGTCACCTCCTTCAGCGGACAGTCCTGCCTTTGTCTCCTCCTGCGGTGTCTCCACCCCCGCCCACCTCACCTGCCCCACGATCTACCTTCCACATGTGAGAACAAATCGAGAAGTATCTTACACAGCCAGTTACAAGCTGACGGACGATACCAGAAAGGAAAAACTAGAAAAGAGTGAGGGAATGAGGAACCCTGGGTGGGGCCGGACTCAGGTTGTTATTTTAAGCAAGGGAGGGTCCCGGTTAGACCTCAGGGAGGGAAGCCTGTAGTGGGTTCTGGGGACAGCTCAGAGGACACAGCCAGTGTCGGGCTGGCACGTGGGGGTGTGTGTGGACAGGAGGCTGGCCGGGGGAGGAGCTCAGACAGGGAGCCGGGCCAGTGGTGGTAGTTGTTACAAGTCCTTATCCAGTGCAGACAACTCTTTTTGTAAAACTTACTGACAAATTTGCTAGAAAAATGAAATGTTAAAAACATAGGAAATAGAAGTGTAATGTTTTATTATTAGAGTCACAGAGAGTTGCTCTTACCAGGTTCCCGTAGACGTTTCTAAACGGGAGCTTGTGTTCCTTTCCTGCCTGCGGCACGGAAGCACGCACGGAGCGGTGCTGGGGAGCCCTTGTCAGGGCTCGGCTGTGAGCAGGAGGGGAGCCGTTGGAGGGTGGTGAGCATAGGGAAGGGCCTGTCTGTCCTTCATGTGAAGAGAATCACCCAGAACCATGGCTGGAAGAGGGTAGAGTGCAGGGGGTGCGGGGGGGGGGGGCGCAGGGAGACTTGTGTTTTATGGGCAAGAGAAGGGGGCAGCTCAGACCCGGACAGTCACATTGGAAAAGGTAGAAAGTGGTTGATTCTGGATATATGTTTAAGGTGGAGCCCACAGAATTTCCTGGTGGGTCGGGTGAGGGCGGGAAAGGGAGAGAGAAGTCAAGGGTGACTTTGGGTTTCTGCTGGGAGGACACACAAAAGATACATTCCTGTCAGCAGGGACTGAGGTCCTGTCAGAGGGGACCGGGGTGGTGTCAGTGGGGACCGAGCTGTTGTCAGTGGGGACCAGGGGGGACCGGGGTGGTGTCAATGGGGACCGAGGTGTTAGCGGGGATCAGGATCCTGTCAGGGGGGACCAGAATCCTGTCAGGGGGGACCCGGGTCCTGTCAGGGGGGACTGGAGTCCTGTCGGGGGGGACCGGGGTGCTGTCGGGGGGGACCGGGGTCCTGTCAGCGGGGACTGGGATCCTGTCAGGGGGGACCGGGGTGCTGTCAGGGGGACCAGCACCCTGTCACAGGAGACCGGGGTCCTGTCAGCGGGGACCGGGGTACTGTCAGGGGGGACCGGGTCCTGTCAGCGGAGACTGGGGTGCTGTCGGCGGGGACCGGGGTCCTGTCGGCGGGGACCAGGGTCCTGTCGGGGGAGACTGGGACGGCTCCAGCCTGGCCGGAAGAGGCCAGGGGCTCAGGAGTTCCATTTTGTTTACATTGAATTGACTTTGTGTAGATGTGATCAGGTGAGGCATGTGTGAACTTGATGTTACATAAAGAGCTGTGACTAGAAGGGGAGCCTCGGGCTCCAGAGAAACCTCATCCTTGAGGGCGAGATCACTGTGTTGGAAAGCGCCCAAGGAAGTCAGTTTGAGCACCTCCCTCCAAGATCCCGTTCTGACATAATTCTCCCTCCTTGGAAGTGATTCCTTTTTTTCCCCTCCCTGGTCACAAGTAAGAGAAGAGTCTCCTACCTTCAGAGACACCAAATTTGGTTGGCCTTTCATCCCACGGTGCAGCTGCAGGGCTGGTCAGGAGTGAAGAGCGTCTGGGTGGCCAGTCCGCCCCTCCCTCGGGGTCAGGGGGGATCCGCCTTCTCTGATTGCTGGTTGTGATGGATTTTACCGCCCGACCTTAGCTCCACCAAACAACAGCTCGGAGGGGCAGAGAGGAGGGAAGATCTGCAACACTCAGCCACTTGCTGTGCTGAAGGCCGGAGGCAGCCTAATGTGAAACGTCAGGATCTTGCCTCCCTGGGTCCTTGTTCCCAGTTGACCTTTTTAGTTTCTTTCTGAGAACAACCAACTAACGATCCCTCAGGGCTGAAAGATTACCTGCGTTGGGTGGAGAACTAACCTCCTGCTAGTCACATCAGCGTCAACTGGTATCTTCTATGTGAGCTACTAACTTGACCTCTTCCTCCCTCCAATTGAAAGATCGCTGCGTTTTTGGATTATAAACCTATCTCTTGCCTTGTTCCTTCAGGAATTTTTAATTTCTTTGGTTTCATTTTTAAGAAGGAACCTATAATTTCTACAACACTAAATAAAATGGTACTACCTTCAAAAAAAATTGGTGAATAAAAAGTGAGGTGTAAAAGTGCATTGAGGTCATGAGTCCAGCCAGTTCTTTATATTAAACATAAAATATGCATGCGCTCACCACACAACAGACACTGGACGGTATTGCATTAAAATTTTGCACATGATTATTTGCATAGAGAGACTGTTAGTAGTGTCTTTTCTCTTGCACTTTTTGGTGTGTAATAAAAATGCATTGCTGAGGGGCGCCTGGGTGGCTCAGTTGGTTGAGTGTCCAACTTCGGCTCAGGTCATGATCTCGCAGTTCGCGGGTTCGAGCCCCGCGTCAGGCTCTGTGGTGACAGCTCAGAGCCTGGAGCCTGATTTGGATTCTGTGTCTCCCTCTCTCTCTGCCCTTCCCCAGCTCATACTGTTTGTCTGTCTCTGTCTCTTTCTTTCTCAAGAATAAGTAAATATTAAAAAAAAATTTTTTTAAACGTGTTGCTTAAATAATCAGCAGTAACAATAACCATTTGTTAAAGAAAATGAGCATCACAGCCACGTGACCCTCTTCTCTCCCCTCCCCCCCCACCCACCCCCCAGCTCACCATCTGCTACCTGGACATGCTGATGACCAGCGAGGAGCGCCGGAAGCAGCTAAGGGACCAGTACTGCTTTGAATGTGACTGCATCCGATGCCAGACCCAAGACAAGGTAGGTGGTCTGGAGCATCTCCCGGGAAATACCCCTGTGATCTTTCAGAGAACTCTGCTTTTATTTTGTGAATCCAGGACTCAGTGCAGAGGGGGAACCTAAAGAGATGCGTTGTGCTGCGTGTATTTTATCCCCCATGAAGCGGTAAGAGAGGTTCACTCTCTGGTAAGGACCTACTGAGCTCAGGCTCTAGAGGGCATGGAGGCATCAAACGTGTCATTAGGTCATAGGCCGGAGCGCCATTAGAGCACACGAGAGGGTTAGGTCACCTTACGACCGGTAGCAGCCACTGCTCGGTAATCAACGTACCACGTTGTATCTAGTTTTTTATTTCCTCAAGTGTGTTCTGTAAGGCTTTTTGCTGTAGCACCTTATCAGACAGAGATCACTTCTGCAGCAGCTTTCCTCTCTGAGAAAGGAAGGAGGCCAGAGTAAGTGCCAGAAACATAGTGAATGAACTTTTCTCCTGTTTCTCATGCACTTCCCTCACATCAGACCTATCTGCTTTCGTTTCCACACAGTCGAGTTACCCGATTAAATCTGACTCTGGTAGAATGTTCTGCATCTGTTGGAATTCTTTTGTAATCCTGATGTCGTTTAACCCAATAATCGTCAATTAGGAGCTGGCACTCAGAGCGTTCAGAGATCTGCCTGTGGGAAGGGACGAAGCAGAAGGTGGCAGAACCGAGTCTCGAAGCCACGTTGTTCGACTAAACCTAGTTTTCCTTCCGCTGTACCGCGGCCACGTGTGGTTCCTGGTGGCAGGCTGGGTGCAGAGAGGTCCCTGAGCTCCTTCTAATGATGCAGGAGTCCGTGAACACGATTCGTTTTTCATTAAAAATAACTTTTAGAAACAAATGAGCCACATGGGAAAGGTTAGAACAAGATTCATTGCCCTGCAGTGTTAGCCTTCTGCCACAGCCCAGAGCGCTGGAGTTCGAGGGGGTCCCGGGGGGTGCCTCCCCAGACCGGACCCTAACCTGCAACGGCCCGAAGCAGCCTCCCCTCCCGCCAGCGCTCTGGGATGGGAAGTCTTGGACTTAGTATCTTCTCCATACCATCTGCCTTGTAGACCCCGCAAACAATTTCTTGAATAAGTACTTGTTTTTTATTAAAAGTGGGGTCATGGTCACTTCTGGGTTTTTGTTCCAGTTGAAACCTGGCTAGAATAGTATATTGGGGAAAGGTTGAGCTTCAGAGAGCAGGTAACCCAACTAACCGGACTGGCTTTGGTAGGTGTGGCATGGTTGTTTCTGGAATTCTGGAGAAATAGCCTAAGACGGGGGTGGGGTGCTCATAGCCCTCATCGCAGACCCAGAATCCTTCCGTTCTCCTCCTCAGCCACCCCTACATGTGCCTACTGTCCTCATGGGGGGACTGGTACCCTCGACGCTGAGTCAGTATCTCCAGCCTCTGGACACAGAAAAAAAGGCGGAGAAACAAAGGGAAAGTCACCTGGGGGTTTCCGCCTGCATTTTATTGTTCAGGACGGTGTCGTATGGTCACCTTTAGCCGTAAAAGAGGTGAGGGAACCACATTTTAGGTTTTCAACCTTCAGCCTAGAGGAGACAAGGGAGAGGAAGATTGGAATGGCTTTCAGGTGGCTGACTTAGTGTCCACTGTATTCATTGAGACCATTTTCTTCTCACTTTTGAGCCAAAAGTGTGTTTAGTATTGTGTTAGGGATCTCCGGAGAAGGCACACCGACGGGGGGTGTGTGAAAAGGAGCTGGGGGGTGGGGGTGGACATTTATGAGAAGGATTTGGTGCATGTGACTGTGGAGGCTGACAGGCCCCACGACCTGCAGTCGGTACGTGGCAGACCAGGAGAGCTAACGGCGAAGCTCCAGGCCTCAGGCTCCAGTAAGAGCCAGACTCCCATTTGAGTCCAACGGCAGGGAAAGAGAGTGTCCCAGCTCAAAGGCAGTTGAGCAGCAAGAGTTCCCTACTACTTACAGTAGGGTTAGCTTTTGTTCTAGGCAGGCCTTCAACTGATTGGGTAAGACCCACCCACCATAACAGCTAATACACTGGGGGAAAGCAGTCTACTGGTTCAAGTGTTCAACCCGTCCCACAGCAGCCTCACACACACACCCAGAGTAACGCTTAATGAAATATCTGGCACCCTGTAGCCCAGTCAAATTGACACGCAACATTTACTGTCACAAATACTGTGCTAGAGAGAGGGCAGATGGTAAAATGGAAAACGTACTTGCTCGTTCTTCTGGATTCTATTCCATTCTGTCTCTGACACACTGGGTGGCCTTGGGCAAGTCATTCAATCTCTCTGATTTATTCCATCCTCTGTAGTCAAATCTCAGTATAGTAGTCCTCTGACTCCTATCTCATTTCCCGAATGAGCACTGTGTGGAGCATCTTTTCATATACGTGTCAACCATCAGTGTCTCCTCACACATCAGTATCTCCTGTCAGCATGGCTGGAATCAAAAAGGCAAGAAATAACAAGTGCTGATGAGGTTGTAGAAAAGGGAACCCTCGTGCACTGCTGGTGGGAATGTAAACGGTGCAGCCACTGTGGAAAACAGTATGGAGGTTCCTCAAAAGAATAAAAATAAGGGGCACCTGGGTGGCTCACTTGGTTAAGTGTCCAACTCTTGATTATAGCTCAGGTCATGATCCTGGGGTCGTGAGATCAAGCCCCACGTCAGGCTCTGTGCTGGGCAGAAGCCTGCTTGGGGTTCTCTCTCTCTGCCCCTCTCCCTCTCACACATGCCAGTGTGTGTGTGCTCTCTCTCTCGCTGTCTCTCTTTCTCACTGTCTCTCTTTCTCTCTAAATAAATAAATAAATAACCTTACAAAATAGAACAACCACATGATCCAGCAACTCCACTTCTGGGTATTTAAAGGAAATGAAAACACTAACTTGAAAAGTTACTTGCACCCTCGTTTGCAGCATCATTTACAATAGCCAAGACATGGAAATGACCTTGAGTGTCCACTGACAGATGAATGGATAAAGAAAGTATGGTGTGTGCGTGTGCCTGTGTGTGTGTGTATAGTAGAATATTATTTAGCCATTGAAAACAAGGGAATCTTGCCATTTGCAATAACATGGATGGACCTTGGCGGCGTGATGCTAATGGGAATAAGTCAGAGAAAGGCAAACATGATATGTAACACAAGAGAATTAAACTGGATGGTCGCAAAGCCCCTGCTCTGTTATCTCTGTTTTGCTGAAATATTTCCCAGTAGAAATAGATGAGAATATAAACTTGATTTCAATTAGCTCATCAGCTATATTTCTGGTTTCTATTTATCTGAGAATTTTGTTCTGTTTAGTAATATAAACGTCCCTCCTGAAATCTCTGAATTGGTGATTTGCTTTGAAAAAATAAGACACAGGTAATCCAGCTTAGTGCATTCCCCAAAGATTATACATTCAAAACTGCTTCGGTCAAAATTCAATTTACTTCAGTTCCTAGATTCAGAGTGTTCAGGATTATTTTTCTGCTTTTCTTGGAACCTAAGAAATTCGTCTCAACAGGTTTCCGTGCCGAGCGGTACTTATTACGGTGCCACATCTGCGCGTTGCTGGCCTCACACAGTTTCATGTTTCAGGAAGCAGGAGGCCTTTAATAGTGGGTGTGATTTGCGTGTTGGAGTTTGCTGTCACTTATAATCAGCAGCAGCTCAATTTCTGGAAGGAATAAAACGTACCTTGAGAGAGGTATTGGAATGACTCGGCCTCTCCTGTGGCTTGCCCAGATCAGAATGCTCGGCAATGAAAGCGGAATAGACCAAGTGGGGTGGGTTGTTCCCGGGGTCTTGTGGGTGGCATGTAGCTTGCTTCCTGGGATGTCCCGGGCTCTGTTGCGACAAAGCTATATTCACTGGCCATGTCACCCTTTCCTTCCTAACGCCTGTTATGGCTGATCCTTCTTCTAAAACACAGTGTCTGTCACTATACTCACAACGTGGGTGCATCACTCCTCCATGATAGAAATAGCCCCTAACTGGTCACATGGCCTCAGTGTCCTTGTTCACCTAGGCTGCGCCTTGTGACACAACCAGTTTTCTGAGCAACTGCTGTTTCCATGTCATTGCTTTGCTCAGATTTTTTAAAAGCATTTACCATCATCTTTAACGTTCAGGATAAATGTGAGACTCAGCTCGGCATTTGGTGTCCTACGACGTGATGATCCAACGTCCAACCTTCTTTTTCCCCTTCCTTTCTCTTTCCCTAACTCGTTCTGTCTGATCGCATCCTTTCACCACTCAGAAGCCTGCAACGTGGCTTTCAGGCACGCACCCACACACATCTATTTATATATAAACATAAATATTCAAATATGGGTAGATGTGTATGTAGGCTCTAACGGCTGTAAGTCTTCTACTGATTTGTGAAATAAGAGTGACAGGAAATAAGAGGAAAGCAAGTCAGTGCCCAAAGGGCATTCCATATGATCCTATAAAGTGATTGGAAATAAATCACAGATTAAATTTCCTAGCAGCCAAAGCTGAATGACTAATTTCAGAATTCACAGTAGCTGTGGGGTTGGGCACACACATGTTGCTCAGCCAAAGCACTTTTTTCTGGCGCTGAAGCCAGAGCCACTCCAGAGGGTCCCACAAGATTCAGTGGTCAACATCCTATCAGAGTTCCATGATTATTTAAAGAGTGGATTTTTATATTCTTCAGTGCGGCTGATAGGCATCATTTCAAATTGTCACGTAATACAAGAAGTAACAAGAAGGATTAAAACTCACACACTCTTGTTTCCCGTCTCTCTGATGGTTTGTTTCATCCCAAGAATAAAGTTTAGACTACACGAAGGAAAGCAAGGATTGCGTATCCTTAGATGATCCTTCTTTAATGGTATTTCTTGCAGTCTTTTTGGCTCATCATTGTGCTTGTTATTAAAGTGATTCGTGCATATAGTTTGAAAAGGCACAGTACTAGTACCTGGTTCAGAACACCAGTACGCTTTCCCTCTCATGTTCCCGCCACGTCCGACTCCCGAGATAGCCCCTTTTGGCTTCTGGGATTTAGTCCATGTTTCTAAATTAAAGCTCCATTAAATCACCTCCCAGATGTTGTTTGCTGTTCAGTTCGTTTAATGACTGTTTTTTTTTTATTCTTAGGATTTCATATTTGCTTTTCTCCCCCCATATCTCCCAGTTTATGTTTTATTTCTCTTTCTGCTTTCATACTTTCCTATTCACTTCTACTGAGTACTACTCCGTTACTTATTTGAGCATCTTAATCACACCCAAAGAGTCGTGGTCAGTGAGTGCCAGGCCTATGTACTGGAATGAAGTCATGTTCAGGTTGTTGATTTTTGTCAGTTATCATCCTTAGCTTTGCATTTCACTAAGTGGCTTGGAATTTTATAATGCAGGCTTGTGTTTGAGGGAAAGTATTTTGGTTTTGTTCCTTTCTCTCCTTCTGTGCTCAGCTTCTCTGTCTTCCAGCCTTGAACTTGCTCATTCCCTCTGCCTGCTAACCTTGCACTTGCCTACCCCAGACGAGGGGGTCTGTAATCACCACAGTGATACTGAGGCTACCGCAGATCTGGTTACTTAGGTGATGGGTGACAGAAAGACTGGCTGTGTCTTCTGACCTTCCCAGGCCCAGAGCTTCGTGACCACATTTAGCTTAAGAGAACAGGTCACCAGCCCTGTGTCTTCAACCTCGTCCCCTGGCTCTAAGCCTTAAAGCTGACTCTACTCACCTTTCTTTTTCTTTCTTTCTTCCTTTTTTTAATGTTTTATTTATTTTGAGAAAGAGTGCATGCAAGCAGGAGAAGAGCAGAGAAAGAGGGAGAGAGAATCCCAGGCAGGCTCCATGGTGCTGTAAGCACAGAGCCTGATGCAGGGTTTGAACTCACCATCTGTGAGACCATGACCTCAGCCAAAATCAAGAGTCAGACTCTTAACCAGCTGAGCCACCCAGGTGCCCCTCTACTCACCCTTCTTACGGGAAGCATTTCTGTTCCCTTTTTGCCAGCGGTAGCCTGCCTTCCAGACCCGAGGCCCTCGCTCCAGCTTGGTGTATTCCTTTGTGTTTCTGTTTTCCTTTGGGTCCAGGAAGATGTTTATCTTGTTTTTGAATTAGTAAAGCTATTTTTGGTTTTTCTTTTTTTACTTACTATTACTAGGATTTGGGCTAGAGGGGAGCACGCCAAACTCTGACCTGACAGCATCTCCACTGGACGTCTACAGTTTGCTTTTCAAGTACATAGGTACGAATTCAGGTCTTTGGAGGCAAAGAAAACGTGAGGATACACAATGATCTAATTCTCCTGAGGGTTTCCAAGCATGTGTGCACCTTGTACCCAACCCCAGCCTGTCTATGCAGGAGGGATCTAGATCTTTTATCACAGCACCCTCTGAGGAGAGACACGTGAGCAGAGCCAGGCTGAAAAATGTATCCCCTCTGAAAACAGTTTAATAAGTGGCTCCATGCAGGGGAGAAGCCCCAATAAGCTTCTCATCCCTCAGTGCTACAGTGCTAAGCTCAAATCCTCTCATTTTCTTCTGCCGACACAAAGCACTGTGAATTTTTGTCCTTGGTAAATATTTCAGCCCCCCC